CCCCGCCGCGGGCCGCGGGGCAGGGCACGGCGCGGGTGGGCGGCCCCCCCCCCCCCCCCCCGCGACAGCAGCGAGGGGAAAGGCAGACGGGTGAGGAGGAAGGAGGGCAAGGCCCGAAACCGCCTACAAAGCCTGTGACTCCTTACAGCATCGACAGGGGAAACTCTAGAGCCAAATCCTCGCCAGCTCGGTGCCCCAGCTTATCAAGGCACTGTGGAAGCGGTGAGCTGTGCTTGTTAGTAATTTATGACAGGAGTGTCTTGAGGAGGAAGGAGGGCAAGGCCCGAAACCGCCTACAAAGCCTGTGACTCCTTACAGCATCGACAGGGGAAACTCTAGAGCCAAATCCTCGCCAGCTCTGTGCCCCAGCTTATCAAGGCACTGTGGAAGCGGTGAGCTGTGCTTGTTAGTAATTTATGACAGGAGTGTCTTAAGGCAACCAGGTACAGTTAGCTAACATTTCAGTAATCAAAACAGTTTTGCTTTAAACAGCAGTAAATGGGCTGAAAATACAGCAGGTTTGAAGTGGAGAGGCTGAAGATGGGCACCTTCAGTTGATTTGAGTTTCTTCCTGTAACTCATGAAGGCATATTCCAGACTACAAAAAGAAGAAAAAAGTTGGACAAAGGACAGTCTCTTACAGCCCCTCGCCATAACAATCCTGCATTTTAAGATTTTGAGATACTAGAGATACGCAAAGAGGGATTTAAGAGTTTCCCCGTATTGGTTTTCCTAGTTTTAGTTTTCCTTTGTGCTTGCACACTGATATTTCTCACCCAGGACTATCTATCTGTTGCCAGTGGTTACTGCAGCATTTGTTAAAGCAGTCACTCCTATTTCAGATTAATGTTGTATATACTTTGAGTATCCTGGCTTTATTTAAACTGTACCAGACAGTGAATTAACACCATCTATTCCAACTCTACAAGAAACCCGTTTTGGTGAAACTTACCAATAATGATGATGATGATAATGAGAACCACAGCTATCAGTATTGCCCACATCTGTGAAAAAAGCCATACAACACTTACTACAAACCATGCAGCAGCATTAACTGGCCTTTAGGGTACAGGAAAGCAGCCCCTGCAAGGTACTTTTGCACCATGTGCTAGATCTAACACAGCAAGTACAACTTCTTCAGTAAGCAAGCTTGATTCACCATTACCACTGAAGACACGGTAGGCTGTGCACACAAGCAAAGCAGACCAAGAGGTTCTTTTCTATTGTGCCTCCATGCAAAGCCTGCCTCAGGTGATGATACAAGCAGGAGTAAAGAACTATTAAACATAATTTCTACTCTTACCCTATACCACACCTTTCACTGTCTCTGTTGCTCACCAAAGAAGATTCCAACCTTTGCCAACAGCTACAGGCACAGGAGTCTGAGCAAGCTCCTTCTGCTTTCTAATACTTCCCACACACTAACTCAACCTATGTATTTTTGACCTTTTGCTTCCAGTTCCCCAAAGCCTCAGATTACTGAGGTGTTTCCCTCTGGCCATTACTGTCTTCGACAAGGTCTTGCATCAAGCAGCACGGCTGGTAATCCAGCTTTTGGTTACTTCACCTAACCACTATGCCATGTTTTTAAAATAGACACTGTAAATTTGTGCTGGTTTTGGCTGGGGTAGAAGTAATTTTCTTCCTAGTGGCTAGTACAGGGCTATGTTTTGGATTTGTGCTGGAAAGTGTTGATAACACAGGGATGTTTTGGTTACTGCTGAGCAGTGCTCACACAGAGTGAAGGCCTTTTCTGCTTCTCACCCCACCCCACCAGCGAGTAGGCTGGGGGGGCACAAGAAGATGGGAGGGGACACAGCCGGGACAGCTGACCCCAACTGACCAAAGGGATATTCCACACCATATGACATCATGCTCAGCATATAAAGCTGGGGGAAGAAGGAAGGGGGGGACGTTCAGAGTGATCATGTTTGTCTTCCCAAGTAACTGTTATGCATGATGGAGCCCTGCTTTCCTGGAGATGGCTGAACACCTGCCTGCCCATAGGAAGGAGTGAATGAATTCCTTGTTTTGGTTTGCTTGCGTGTGCGGCTTTTGCTTTACCTATTAAACTGTCTTTATCTCAACCGATGAGTTTTCTCACTTTTACTCTTCTGATTCTCTCCCCCATCAC